GGAAGTGCACACTCAGTGTGCCCCTTCCTATCACTCCGGCCGGCCGGCCACCGCGGACCGGAGTGCAGCTCGGCCACGCTACAGGGGAGGGGAGAAGCTGCAGCCGCCTGAGGCTCTTAACAGAGCGCTCGGGCGGCTGCAGTATTTAAAGGGCTGGCCCAGGAACGCGGCCGGCCCCCTGGTGCCGCGGCCCACCGGGAAATTTCCCGGTATCCCGGTGGGCCAGTCCGGCCCTGGGGGAACCTATTGTCCTCCCCCCGGCCCCCACCCATGAGCTGTGGGTGGGGGCCCTAAATTACTTGAAAGGGGGAGGGACCTAAATAACAATAAGGAGGGGACTTGTTGTCCTCCCCCTGGCCCCCACCCTTGAGCGGTGGGTGGGGGCCCTAAATTAGAATAAGGGGGGACCTATTGTCCTCCCCCCTGGCCCTAAATTAGAATAAGGGGGGGTGGGGGCCCTAAATAAAAATTTAACCCACATCCCAGGTGACTAGGGGTCCCCTAACCCCTAGTCACCCCCCTCCCAAAAAAATGAACCCCTACCTACCCCCCTCACCCTAAAAATAATGAGGGGGGACCATTAACTAAGTACCTGTAAAAAAAAAAACTTACCATTTGATGTCTTCTTTTTTCTAAAATCTTCTTTTTTCAGCCCCATAAAAGGCCAAATAAAAATCTATAATGACTGTCGCAATTAGAAAAAAAAAAAAAAAAACAGAGCGCAAAAAAATAAATAAATCCATCTTCACCCATGGACGGCTCCATGCAGACTGAGCTCTGCAGGGCAGTGGAAGGCTTATAAAGCACATGTCTACCCCACCTCCTATAGACTGTAAGCAGGGCCCTCTTCAACCTATTGTTTCTGTAAGTTTTCTTGTAACTGTCCTATTTATAGTTAAATCTCCCTACTTGGAAATGTCTCTAATAGCCCAATACACTCTGCCCATTACTGAGGGGGTGATCTCTAATATCCCAGTACACACTGCACATTACTAGGATGGCTTTTTAATCTCCCAGTACAGTCTGCACGTTATTGGGGGCTCTGTAATATACATTACAGGATATTCAGACATTACCTGGAACTCTGTATTATAATGGGGGGATGTGTGTGAATGAGATACAAGGAGGGGCTGGGGGTGGAATGAGACACATAGAGGAACTGGGGGTGGAATGAGACACAGAGGGGATGGGGGGGTTAATTAGACACATGGAGGGGATATGGGGTTAATAAGACCACAGAGTGGCTGGGGGTTAATGAGATAAATGGAGGGCTGGGGTGGTTAGTTAGACACATGGAGGGACTGGGGGGTGAATGAGACCATGGAAGGGCTGGGGGGTTATGAGACACATAGAGGGTCAGGAGGGTTAATGAGGCACACAAATGATCTGGTGGGTTAATGAGATACATAGAGAGGCTGGGGGAGTAATGAGACACATGGAGGGGCTTGGGGTGAATGAGACACATGAAGGGGATGGAAGGGGTTAATGAGACACATGGAGAGGATGGGGTGAATGAGACACATGGAGGGGCTGGGTGAGATAATAAGACAGAGTTGCTGGAAGGATTGATAAGGCACACAGAGGGGCTGGTGGCACAATAAGACACAGAGGGGGCCAAAATGGCACACAGAGGGGCTGGGGGGGGGGAGTACAAAAAGACAAACAGTGGTACTGTTGGCACAAAGAGACACAGAGAGGGGCTGTGTGCACAAATAGACACACACAGAGACTGGGGGGCACAAAGAGACACACAGAGGGCTGAATGATGACAAACACAAAGAAACATACATAGAGACAGATGCAGGACAGAGAGACACACAGGGGGGCTGGGGGACAATCAGACACACACACAGCAAGGCTGAGGGGAGAAAGAGGCACACAGAGGGAATGAGAAAGGGGAAAAAGAGACACACAAAGGGGTTGTAGAAGAAACAGATGCATAAAGGAGCTGAGGGAAGAAAGAGACACACAACTGGGCTGGGGGACTATGAGACACACTGAAGAGCCGGGGGAAGAAATAGGCGTGCCATCCACACCAGTGTGCCAGCCGCAGCCAGCCTACCACAACAGCTAGCCAGCCTGCCACCCTGCCAGCTGCCCACAGCAGCCAGCAACAGTAATTAAGGTGAGAAGAGTCAACTTTGTACATTTTAAAGTTGGGGGAGTGAATGGGTGCCATATACAGGATCCACTCGAATTCCAAATACAGGATCCACCTGGGTGCCAAATGCTCTAGGCATGTTAGTAGGGGATATCTGTAGTACCCTACTCTGTGATTCAATATACACATTGCATATATCAGTTGCCCATTATATATTTTTTTAAAGTATGACTGTCTCCAACCCTCCACTGACTGAACTTGGAGATTTAATCAACAGAAGCAGCTTATGATGTGCTTCTTTCAACCTGTTCACTAACGCAGCTACTTTGGCTTGCAACTCTTATCAAACTCAGCCAGATTTGAGCTGTGCATAATGACAGCTGTAGATCACAGTGGGGAACCTTAAACTGGAGGGGGCATGTAGTTTTAGTATGGAAAAGTGTAATAGCTATTTTCCCTAGCTTAAAGGGACATTGCACCTAAACCACTTCAATGAGCTGAAGTGGTCTGGGTGCCTACAGTGTCCCTTTAACCCCTTAAGGACACATGACATGTCATGATTCCCTTTTATTCCAGAAGTTTGGTCCTTAAGGGGTTAAAGGGACACTCCAGACAGTGGCGTACACACAATCCATGGGGCCCCAGTGCGAAAACTGATCCGTGGGCCCCCCCCCACGCTTACACTGCGTGGGCCAGGGGCCGCAACACACGGTGGTATGTATGCCAGTGCATGAAGATACACATACACTTAAAGGACCACTATAGGCACCTAGATCACTTCAGCTCAATGAAGTGGTCTGGGTGCCAGGTCTCTCTAGTTTTAACCCTGCAGCTGAAAACATAGCAGTTTCAGAGAAACTGCTATGTTTCACTGAGGGTTAATCAAGTCTCACTGACAGCTGCTAGAGGCGCTTCTGCGATTCTCACTGTGAAAATCACAGTGAGAAGACGCTGGACGTCCATAGGAAAGCATTGAGTAATGCTTTCCTATGGGCGGCTTGAATGCGCGTGGCTCTTGCCGTGCATGCACATTCGGAGCTGAGAGACGGATCGGGGTGGAGAGATCCCAAGCGCCAAAGGAGCCCGGCGCTGGAGAAAGGCAAGTGCTGAAGGGGTTTTAACCCCTTCAGCCCAGCGGGAGGGGGGCCAAAAGGGCGGGGGGCACCTAAGAACTATATAGTGCCAGGAAAACGAGTTTGTTTTCCTGGCACTATAGTGATCTTTTAATGACAAACATTCAGATACACATACAGACAAACAGATACCCATGCAGACCAAGAGATACACATACAGACCCACATACAGGCACACACATACACACACAGAGATACACATACACACACACACATACAGACACACACTCATAGTGACAGATCCACATACACACTCACTGACAAACACATATACACTCTCACTAACAAACACACACACACTCATTAACAGACAAGCATACACACTAGCAAACAGACACACACTCAGTGACAGACATACATACACACTCACTGACAGACAGACACACATACACACTCACTTACAAAACATACACTCTCACTGACAAACACACACTCACTAACAGACAGCAAACATACTCACTAACAGACACACACTCAATAACAGACACACACTAACAGACACACACAAACTAACACACAACTAACACACTCAGTAACAGACACACACAGTAACACACTCACTGACACACACACTCACTGACACACAAAAACTAACACACTCACTAGCAGACAGCAAACATACTCACTAACAGACACACACTCAATAACAGACACACACTAACAGACACACACAAACTAACACACAACTAACACACTCAGTATCAGACACACACACACACAGTAACACACACACACACTCACTGACTCACTGATGCAGCATTCTTCAAAACATTATTGAGGCCCGGAGTGTCACTTTACGTGGCTCACCCCTCGCCAACATTTACCTCACCATCAATCACCACAGGTGGAATTTAGAATTTGTACCGAATCCTCTGTAGTTGACCGATCACTTGATATGCCTAAATTCAGACAAATTGCAGTTCTGACCAAATTGAATCTGCAAGCCTAGCAGGAGGAGCCTGGAGCTCCTAATTCTTGAGAAACTTTTAAATATCTGTAAATAGTAACAGACCTAAATAAATTAAATCTTGGGGAGATGGTTCAAATTCTCCCAATAAGAAAAAGGTTGTAATTGCCCATGTATGCAGAAGGCTTTTAAGTCATGTGATAAGGGGAAGGCAATTAGCAGAATAGATTTGAGAAATTGTGGGTGTGATGTTTATACCTAGAAACATAATCGGATCAGATTTCCAGGAACATGAAAAGGAGTCACTAAGCAAAGAGGCACTCTTG